AGTTGGTGGACTTGGCAGAGCCCCCGTTGAGGGCCCTACTCTGCCTGGGGAGTGGTGGGTGGATGGGGTGGGGGGTAGGCTAGGGGTGAGGGAGGAGGGATGGGGGTGAGGGGAGGGAGAGGGAGAAGGGACTTACATGTGAAACAAGCTTGTTCCCTAACTAGAATAAATAAATAAAAACAAAAAAAAGAAAAAGAAATGTTTATGACCAGGTGGTGGCTGCACATGCCTGTAATCCCAGCACTTGGGAGCTGTTATCTCTGACTTTGAGGTCAGCCTGGTTTACAAAGTGAGTTCCAGGATAGCCAGGGCTGCTAAACAACCTGGAAACATCCCCCCGCCCCCCCCAAACCAAATGTTTATGAAAAATAATCAAACATTTGAAATACAAAGACATCTAAACACTCATAAAAATAATATTAACATCTTCCTTTGGTTTTGGTTTTTTTTTTTTTTTTTTTTTTGAGTTGGGGTTTTCTCTGTGTAGCCTTGATTGTCCTGATCTTGTAGACTAGCTGGCCTCGAACTCAGAGATTCAACTGCCTCTGCCTCCCGGTGCAGGGATTAAAGATGTGTGCCACTACTACCTGGCTGAAGGTCAACTTTTAAGAAAAGTTGATTTGGGCGCATGGGAGGAAAGAAGGGAGAGGGAACTGGGATTGATATGTAAAATACTAGATTGTTTTTAATTTTTTTTTAAAGTTGATTTTGTTTTTGTTGCTTCATGCTTAAGCACCTAAGCTAGAAGCACACCATACCCCACCCCTGTCTAAAAAAGACAAATAAAAAACACAGTTTTTGAGCATGCAGATTTGCAGAAGTGGGTGTTTATGTACAAGAGAACACACTTGGAGGTCCGAGGAACACGGGGTGTGTGTGTGTGGGGGGGGGTGTGGTGTCTGTCTTTGCCTTCTCCCTTGTTTGAGATAATTTTTGTTTGTTGTTGCATATGCCGTCTTGGGGGCTTCTAGATGCTCCTATCTCTGCCTTTCATATTGCTGTAGGGGTGCTAGGATTAAAAATGTGTCCTACTAACTAGGCATGATGGCACACACCTTTAATCCCAGCACTCAGGAGGCAGAGGCAGAACCATCTCAGTGAGTTCGAGGCCAGTGTGGTCTACAGAGTGAGTTCCAGAACAATCAGAGCTAATCAAAGAAACAAAGTCCCCTACTATGTCTTGTTTTAAGTGGGCTCTAGAAATTCAATGTGGCAAACATTTAACTTAGTGAGCCATTCCCCAGCTCCTAGTCTTAATGTTCGAATATATATATAACTTTAGAAGTAAATGACCCTTGGGAAGAAAAATTTTGTTGAAAATAAAAATGACAATTATTGAATGTCACCCAGTATGAGAAATGAAACTGTCACTAATTATAATTAGTTTCATATTCTAATCAACAAGATGAACTAGGAAAGTTTTGAGAATAAAGTATAGCTTTATGGAGTAATCATAAATCTATATTTTGTCTTCAGCTTGATATAACCTCATCTTAACATGTCTACAATTTTTAAAGTTACTCCTAAGATACAGTGATTTGGCTCTACTAAATCAGGAAAGTTACACCAATGAACCCAAAGATACAGAGCCAGCCTGAGTCAGGTCACAAAGTGCCCCGAAGCTCTTCCTGCAACTCTACTTAAGAACTGCCACTCCCAGAGGAAGGAAAACATACTCCCCCTCCCTTGCCTCTGCTCCTGTGGGGACAGGTGGATGTGCATGGGAAGGCCAGGGGATGACTTAAGCCATTGTTTCCTGGGAGCCACCCACCCTGGTGTTTGAGACAGACTCTCACTAAGCCTGTGGCTTACAAAGTAGGCAGGGCTGGCTGGCCAGAAAACTCCAGGGAGTCACCTTTTTCCACTCCCTAACGCCAGTTTTGGGATTAGAAGCATGTGCCAACATGCCTAGCTTTTTTCTTTTTAGTGTAGATTCTCAGGATCAATCTCAGGTCCTCTTGCTTGTGTGGTAAACACTTTACTGACTGAACAATTTTCCTAGCTGGTCTCTTTACTTTTGAGAAGTAAACAGCATAAGCTGGGCATGGTAGTATATGTCTATACTGAGCCCACACCCCCTCTGAATAAATAAACAAACAAATAAATAAAGGACAAACAGTTCGGCTGCTTACGCTCCTACAATGCTGACACTTCCTTCTCTCTCAGGGTTTCCTAGACATTTCACTCTGCCTGCTCGTTCATAGAAAGAGGCCAGCCGGGCACCAAGATATGCAGGATATCCACTATCTGAAAGACAAAAAGAAAAGTTTAAAAGGGAGTTCTAAGCTAGCCCCTAAATTCTATCAGTGACAACCAACACAAGACTTACCTGCAGGCATTTCTGCTAAGCGACCAGAGATTTCTCTGAGGGCCTCAGCCCACCTAGAGGTAGAGTCAGCCATCATACTGACGTGGTAGCCCATGTCACGGAAATATTCTGATAGTGTGATTCCTAAATTGAGAAGAACACTGTTGAATTACACCGGCAGAATACAAACTACTGACTGTTTTGTCTCTAAGAATGTTAAAACAATGAGCATATTAAGTATCTCATTAGCCATTTCCCCAAGTTTGTTCTAGGTACACAACTTAGCCATATTTTCAAACATCTTCTCCAGTTAAATAATACCATGTAACTGATCTCAAGCTAACAGAATGTGACTAAAAATTATACATTCCATGGCCAGGCAAGTTATGCATTTTTCTAGACTTCCCAAGGCCCCAAAACATGGGTGAAGACCAAACAGGCACTTTGGGCCCAGGTTTCAGCACAGAATGAAAGGAGTCCCCAGACACTGGAAATAGCATAACTTGAGGACTTTTTGATACCATAACCAACCCCTCTCTATACATTCTAAAGACCAAGAAAAGGATTTATGCCCTGTTCTCTTTTATATAGTTAATTGAAGTAAATTTCTAAGTATAACTTGTCTGTACCATACACCAGGCTATTTAACTAAGCTTGTTGACACGAGAAATATCTCAAGTCTCTAAATCTCTGATGGGCAGACCCAGCCTGTCCTAGAAAATAAAACATCAAGAAAAAGAAGTGTCTTTGCTATTATTTATCTCAGCCAAACCTTTCTAATCTAATCTATTAAGATGGAATAAAGCCTTCCCTATATACTTATATACATTAAAGGAAATAAAATACATATAAACAATTTCCAAAAATATATACTATATACAACTCTAAGGTAATAGAAATGTACAGCTATGGTTATATTGTCAGCGTCTCCAAACCCAATGCCCTGATCTTTGTTTTAGCAAGGAAAAAAAAGGCTTATGTAACCAAAGAGAAAACGTGGCTGTAAATCAGTTCTTTATTGTGCGCCACAGTGCATGATTCAGAATAAAAAACACTAAGGAAAGATTACTTATTAATATTAGGCTTAAAATCATATCAGCTATTCCGACCTAATGTTTAGAACAGACTTTTATGTAGGCACAGATGTGTTGTAGGCCTGTGATGAAATGCTACTAACACTTGCATGTTTATATCAGATACTTCATAGAGAAGACAAACAGACACAAGTAATCAAGACCTCTCTCATGACCTACATACGAATTTCAGAGCCTACAAAGAAAAACCAAAGGGTGAAGCTGGGGTAGTGCTGAGGTAATACAGTTTGGACCCTAGCACCGGGAGGGAGAAAGGGGGGGTAAAAAAAAAACAAAAACAAAAACAAAAACAGAGTTGCATTAATAGATTTAGAAAAAAAAAGCAATATCTTCCTTGATCAAAGAGCTTTCATAAATCAATATGAAAGACAACCACCATCCAAAAGGAAAACCGACAGCAGGCAGTTTTTAAATGGTTAGCATGCATGGCAAAAGAGGTTAGTTCATTTTATATTATAGGCTGACTAGGATGTAATAAAGCAGCAATTGGTAAAATGTCAACCATCAATTCCAGGTGCTAAGTACTTAAGTGTTCACTGTACTAATGCTTCATGTTTTCTCTCTGTTTCCTAACCAAATTAAAATTAGCATTGGTGAAGTTGAGAAACAGGATCCTTCTCTTATTTATTGCACCACTTGGATGGCTATCAGAATTAAACTATAACCCAGTGTTCACCACAAGATGCTGGTTAGGTTAGAGCACTGAGGCTAGAGAGACAGTGCAGGGTTAAGAGCACTTACTGCTCTCGCAAAGCATGCTGTTTCAGTTGCCAGCACCCAGCTGGATGGTCTAACTCCACTTCCAGGGGATCTGGTGCCCTCTTCTGGCCTCTTCAGGCACTGCACCCAAGCACTACCACCCCATAATTTAAAATACCAGTATCTTTTAAAAAGGATTATGCTTATGATCTATTCATATAAAGGGGAACTGCAGACATATAAAAGAATAAAGTATATTTCCTGTCTTAAAATGGGGAAAAATAGTATTACAAATTCAGAGGCTAAGGCAAAGACACATTTAATCCTGTGCTGAAATAACAAGGAATCAGACAAAAACAAGTAAACAACAAATACAGATGTGAGGGAGTACCAAGGATTCACCTGAAGCCACACAAACTCAAGATGGCCAATGGCAGAAGTTCCTTGGGCCCATTTTGGCATGGAGAAGTAGAAAGATGGAGATAAAATCCAACACATGCAGGCACTCCCTATTTCCATTACATAAGATGGGCGAGGCAGGGTAGAGAAGAAAGAATTCACTATCAATGCTAGCTGTTCACTGAAGAGAAATAGTAGTTACACAACTGCATGCCGTAACAAACTTTACAGGGAACCGTGAAGAATTCCTGCTCTCCTGCACCAGTCACTGTCAGTTCCACCCATCTCTTCCCAAGATGAGTAATGGTAGTAAGTGTCAGTTCAGGACACTTACGGAAGTACAGTGATGGCAAAAGAACCTGCCCAGGAACAGATGACAAGTGTGACCACAGTGAGCTATGAAGAAAGCCTTAACCATGCATCCTTCTTTCCGCAGCGTAAGATCTCAGGGATACCTAACAAGATGAGCTGCTTTATAGGCCGACAGAACTCAACAAAGAAAAATAAAACTACCTACTATAGAAATGAAGGTGTCGTTAGAAGCAACACTAAGAACAAGCACCATTTATTTGTGTACATATGGAAGTCTAAATAAAAGGACTGGATGGGAATGGTAGAGCCAGAAAACAGAGGAAGGAGGCCCAGGATGTCTAATGGAAGAAAAGGTTTCAGATGCAATTCTCAAAAGTCTTTCAAAATAAAAAAAAAATACATTCAGAGACTGACAGGGTCCACGGCTTAGGAAGAAGTCTCAAAGCTATCAGTACTGCTGATGTCCCAAGAAAGCCATGAGACTTCAAATTTATGGAGAAATTCCTTGAACCAAGAAAAAAGTCACCTCTACAAGGGGGAGAATCAGTCTTAGATTTTGTCCTCAATATTAATGCTTGAATAAGTGTTATCAGGAAAAATAATATTGATCCATTTTTTTTTTTGAGACTGGCTTTGGAGGCTGTCCTGGAACTAGCTCTTGTACACCAGGCTAGTCTCGAACTCACAGAGATCCACCTGCCTCTGCCTCCCGAGAACTGGGATTAAAGGTGTGCACCACCACGGCCCGGCTGATCCAAAAATTTTATGCTTAGCCAAACCACTGTTAACATTTGGATAGGTATTCCCTCTACTTTAGAAATGAAGCCCACTTTTCCATGAAGAAGATAAATGTTACTACATTAACCCAGTAGATAATAAATCATGAAGTATATGAAAGTAAACATATATTGGTAAAAACTACCAGGCCACAAAAAATACTGGTCCAATAATTTTAATTCAGAAAACAACTGTTAAAGTTTAAAAGCAACAGAAAGAAAATCTGGAGACTTAAGAAGGAAGAGTTTAAAGAAAATAAAGATTTACATGAGTGTTTCTTGCAAAATCTTTCAAAAGACAGGTTTAGTCAAACAAGAAATAAGGAAAGAAACTAGCCACAGAATAGCTAGATCTATTGTTTTAGAACAAAATGGAAAGCTAATAATTCCTGAAAATGGAGGATTGAAGGCGCTAAACAGTAAGGTTGAAAGAGCAAAGGTGAAAGGTTAGTGCACAAGTATGACAAATTTCTTATCTTTTTATGTCCCCTAAAATAGTTATAGAGGCATAAATATATCTAAATATAGCACAATAAAGCTAAAGTGAATATAAATGAATCGTTAAAAAGAAGACACATGGCTGCTGGTGGTGGTGCACACCTTTAATCTCAGCACTTGAAAGGCAGAGGCAGGTGGATGTCTGTGAGTTTGAGACCAGCCTGGTCTACAAAGTGAGTTCCAGGACAGCCAGGATTGTTACACAGAGAAACCATGTCTGGGGAGAGGGGAGGGAGGGAGAAAAAAGAAAAGAAAAGGAAAGAAAAGGAAAGAAAAGGAAAAAAAAGAAAAGAAAAGAAAAGGGCACATGTATTGTTTTATTGTTAAGAGAACTGGAAGCTTGGATGTAGCTCATGAGTGCTTCTTGTCTGGTATGTGCAAGGCCCTGGGCATGCTGAACAACAAAAAGGCAGGGGTAGGGGTGCCAAGGGGTGAGGGAGAGGAGGAGGTAAAGAAGTCAACAAAGATGCCACTGGGGCAGCTCTACAACTGTCTTCTGTTTGGGACTGAGAGATAATGCGAAGATTAAGAGCTCCCCCTGCTGCTGCACAGGACCTGAGTTCTGTCCCAGAACTCAGCAGCGGGGCAGCTAACAACTGCCTGTAACTCTAGCTCCAGGGGAACTGACACCCTCCTCTGTCCACACACACACAACCACACACACACATACACATCTTTTAAAAAAACTATGTTCAATTATTCTCACGACACATATAATAAATTAGGTATTTCTTCAAAGCTAGCAATGTGACTATACGAGAGTTTTATAGAATGAAGTTGTAAAAAAGGAAAGGAAAATTGGGTGCTAGTGCTTTAAATATAGGTGCTAAGTTCTTTTATTCCAACTCCTAACTCACCAGTGTAAATAGAGGCTTCTCTCGCAGCCACAGGCATATTGGAGGTATTGGCCACCAGTGCTGTCCTCTTCATGATGGATTCTACTTTACCATCAACTTCCATAGTGAGCTAAAAGCATAAAACCCATTAGTGATCCTCCAGTTTCTAAGTATAACATTTTAACATTTTAAATTCTCCCCACTTTAAAAATTTATGGCTTGCTCATGTTTAATCAGTCAGAATTCCCAAAGAATATCCCCCATTGTGCCAACACCTCTTGCCTGGTTCACAGCACTGTTTGACAAATGGACAGTTTCATCAAGTGAACAAAGAAAACCCATTATTTTGTGAAAAAGGAAACATTACTACAGTAACCCTAGATCACAAAGCCCATTTATATGTCTGGTTTCTTATTTAGACACTATCTTGTGTAGTCCAGGCCAGCCCTGAACTACTGACCCTCCTGGCTCTGTCTCCCAAAATACAGGAATTGGCGGCATGTGCCACCACACCTAGCTAAATATAAATGTTCTATTGTTTTATCCATCTCATTTTTCTCAAGTGAGAACAAAGATGAGAAATTTTAGGTGTTTGACTTTGAAGAATTCATTTCATTTTTTTAAAAATATACAAATTGATCACAAATAGCTATTTAAAATTCTTCAAAAATATCTTGACAACTGAAAGCACTTTTTGTTTTTTTAACCCAGCCTAAAACTATTAATTGCCAACGACAGCTAACATGCCGTATTTTCTCTAGAAGATTATTGACATTCTCTACAGACAGACCTCGGGGAAGTCCCGGAGAACTTCGGACATCTCATTTCCTCTTTCTCCACATCCTACATAGATGATCACGTCACTGTTGGAATACTTGGACAGCGACTGTGAAATCACTGTCTTTCCACAGCCAAAAGCACCTGGAATAGCAGTAGTTCCTCCCTGAACACACCTAAAAGACAATAACAACAACAACAACAACAAATCAAAACAAACACCACCAAAAAGATGGGTGTTGCAGTTCATGCCAGTAGCCCCAGCATTTGGGAGATTGAGGCAGTAGGATCATCATGACTGGATGTTGCAGGCAAGTCTGAGGTACAGAGTGAGACACTGTCTCAAAACAACAAAAAACAAATTAGCAAATATTTTATTATCATTAATCTTCTCTACCATTTACAGTTACATTATAGATGGAAAGTGAAAATGTATTCCATAAGGCACCCCGAGGAAGAGCTATATGGAAATAACGAGGTAAGCAAAATAGCACTAATGACATTCATGTTTATACAAGTGTGATCATGAAAAGAACACCTGGATTAAAAGTATAAGCAACATTTGAAGCATATTTCCTGAGGAAATAGGAAAGTAGGAAGCCCAAGACATACTGAAGCTTACAGGAGTTGTGTCCACATGAGAGCAGGAACTTCACAGAAGGCAATGTTCAAAGTTGTGAGGAATTAAAAATACTGACATTTGTTTTTCTTTCTTTTTTTTTTTTTTCCTTTTAATTTTTCAAGTCAGGGTTTCTCCACGGAGATCTGTCTGCCCTGGAACTCACTCTATAGACCAGGCTGGCCTCTCACTCAGAGATCCGCCTGCCTCTGCCTCCCTGAGGCTTGATATTTATTTCTTAGGTTGATCAAATATGGGAACAATGATGACAGAAGTGAGACTAGTTAAAGGGAATAACAATGCCAAGGGCAGGGTAGAGTGGATTTACATGGGAGAGAGGAGAAGAGGTAGTATCATGTGTATTCTTTCTAATTTGGCCATGAAGATGAGGGGGAAAGTAGCTGACAGGTGAACAGGATCAATAAGGAAAGCCTACCTTTTTTCTCCTCCCCCTTCCTCTCTTTTTCACTAACCAGGACCTTTATAAGAAAGCATAAGGGCACTAGGGGTGGGAAACGGAAGGAGCGGCAAATTCAGTCTCCAGTTTCTCAGTGAAGGAGAAAGGAGAAGAAGGAAGGATGGAGTTGAATATTGGAAATATGTAGAGCAGCATGAACAGCTTCAGAGAAAAGCAGAGAATCACAAGCAGAGGACTGCCATGCAGCAGTGTGTGTGTAGAGCCGGTCTTTCTCAGGGGTATGTGCAAAGCAGGAGGAAACAGCTGGACTGACTTATACCTGGGATTTTGTCAGGTGAGTCTGACAGAATACAAAGTTTTCCTACACCACTAGGAAGCATTCATAGGAATCAGTATGTGGGGTCTAACCTGAATAATGAAGGACATAGGACCATGAAGAAAGAGATCTTCTCAGGAAAAAGTAATAAATAGTACAATAGACTTTGAAGAGTAAGAGACTCTGAGGTCAGTGGCAGACTGTAGGGAGGGCTGGGGACTGAGGTCAGTGGCAGAGTGCCTGCTTAGCCACTGTGAGGTTGAGGGAGAAACCAGTCTTTTTTTGGAAATTAAACGATGAGGGCCTTATAGAAAGCACAGCAGAATACAGTGAAGCCCATGTCTAGCAAAAGAAAATAAAAGAGCACACTATAAATCACTACTCCTGGCAGCATACAGAGTCCATCTGGTTTCAGAGATTAACAATCTATAGTAATCCAATCTACTAATTCAAGGACAATTTAAGAAAGACAGTTATATTCTTTTTTCCCAGAGTCTTTTGGAAATTTTATTTTTCAGTAAGTTTTCAAAAATAATGCTATTTGTCACTGCAGAGTAAAAAACTTTGACTCAATTATTGGCAGCAGATGTACCTAACTCATCATTGTTACCCTATCACAGTATTAAATACAAAGAATTCATAACTGCAAAGATTATGAAAAGACAGGGACTTATACTAACTCAAGGGTAAATGGTGGAACACATCAAACTTACGGGAAAAGTGCATCCAGAACTCTCTGACCAGTAAGCAAAGGATGGTTTGCTGGTAGCTTTTCAGTGACAGGACGAACCTGACGCACAGGCCATACTTGGACCATGCTGAACTTCTCCTTTATACCTTCAAATTCAAGTTCCAGGACGACATCCTGTAAAAGCAAATGAAAACAGCAGAATTTTAAGGGTGGCTAAATCTGTGAATCCTTCTTCCAAAATGTAAGCAACCCTGGGTTCCTCGTGTGGCTAGAATGTGGAAACAGAAGAATTTTAAGGGTGGCTAAATCTGTGAATCCTTCTTCCAAAATGTAAGCAACCCTGGGTTCCTCGTGTGGCTAGAATGTGGAAACAGAAGAATTTTAAGGGTGGCTAAATCTGTGAATCCTTCTTCCAAAATGTAAGCAACCCTGGGTTCCTCGTGTGGCTAGAATGTGGCTGTTAAACAAGAAGGGAGATGTGCACTTTCTATGGCCATGCTTTTTATACCAGGTGCACTACCAGCTCATTGAGTAATAAAAAGTATCGAAAGAGGCTTTTGGAAAGCAGCTACATAAATTGTACATACATGTTCTTAAAGGACACATGTTCCTCGGATTGGGGAAAAGATGGAGGTTTCACATTTACTTTTCATCACATTTTATTATAGCAATCTTATAATGCTTTAATGAAAAATACATGTTAAAAGCCCCCAAAATAAAGCTAGACAGTGGTGGCACACACCTTTAATGCCAGCACTTGGGAGGCAAGAGGCAGACGGATCTCTGGGAGTTTGAGGCCAGCCTGGTCTACAGAGTGAGTTCCAGGACAGCCAGGATTTCACGGAGAAACCCACTGTCATAAAACAAAAGGAAAAAAAAAGAAAAAAAAGCTCCTCCAAATTTAATACTAATTTTTATTAGTATACTTAAAAAAGAAAGTGATAATATGACAGCATCTATGAACACCGAGTCTGTTTCAATTATTCTCAGATTATTCCAAATTTCACGAGAAGCCTATAGTTCGGTTAACAAATGAAGGTCTGTGCTAGGGCAATTCTTCCACTGGGAATGGGTGAGTCTCTGAGTCAGTGAACAACTCCAGACAGCTGTCCCAGAATCCCAAACCAATTGTGCTCTCTGTATTATCTTTCACAAATACTTTTTGAAAAACTGCTTACTGCATTTTTCTAGTGGGACATTACATGCTATCATGGTTTTCTCAATAAAATTATCTTCAGATTCAAAGACTGCTATGAGTCTATCGTGTCTGACAGTATGTGACATAAATAAAATTAATAAACTAAGTTACAAATGGTGCACTGTTGCAGGATATTTGATTGTGCTATGAAACCCTGAGACTGTGTTAATGAAATTAACCTTGGATCGGGAGTGGAGCCAGTGACTAGCTGACAAGAACTAGCCATAGAGAGTATGGAGGACCCAGAAATACAGATAGCTAGACACAGGAAGGAGGAGGGAAGGACTTAAGAGTTTCATGGTCTTTTTTGTTTGGGATGGTGTGGGGAGGCTTGCTCTCTGGCTGGGTCAGCTGGTTGCTTTTTGGCTTCTCTGATCTATCAGGTTTTCACTCCAACATCTGATTTCCAAGTCTTCATTGGTAAATAGAACAACTTAGATAAAAACGACAGTCACTCTGGTTCTGGTGGGACTGGAAATGCCACCGGGCTGAGGTCTGGGCAGTGTGGTAAGACTGAGGACCTTGGGGTGCAGACAGTAGTTAAAATATCAATAGATTTAGGTGTGGCCGCTAAGCACAAATAAAACAACAGCACACTTAAAGTAATAATTCACATAATCTATTATGTAATTATTACGTAAATACTGATTGACAGTTAATTTCAAAGTCTATTCTAATTCTAATGACTATGAGATTTAGGCAAATTCATCAGGTATATTCTGCTTCTTGTATCCTCAAGTCCAGGTCAAAACAAAATCACCCTTAAAAACTTACATAGCTCAGTGGTAGAGTGATTATTTAGCATGAGAGGCTCTGGACTTGCTCCCTATCATCACAAAAATAAATAAAATAAATGAATAAACAAATAAAAAACTTAAATTATTAAAAATGGTTTAATGGTTTTAGGACACGGAACTGGTAACCACCATATATTAACAGGCTGCTGTGTAGAACAAAACCTACACAGTACTTACAGAGGCGTCGTAATTCCCAGGTGGTGCGATGTAGGTCACACTTCCTCTGTTGCGTGGGGGTAACATGATTTTGTGTCTGATGAGTGAGTTCTCATTGACAATCCCATAAATATCTCCACCAGTGATATGACTACCAACCTAAGGAACAAATGCATTCATTCTTTAGTGCTTGAATAAACCAAGTGGACTTACCCTTATTTTGTAATTTAAATCATTTGCCTAGCTTACAAATAAAGCATTAGTTCAATAGTACAGTAAGTGCATAAAAACTAGACAGTATATCCATGGTTTATGCTTATTTGGACTAAGAGTATAAAACAGTTCACTAAATACACATTTCAGTCTTACACCAACATTAGGAATTCCTGGTTACACAGACATACCCGTAGGTTTTTGCTTGGTGTAAACTCCCATTTGATATCTCTGCTAAGAGCAGACACATTTACTCCTCTGGGAATGTAGATACTTTGGGTCTGATTGCTGATATCCGACAGGGGTCTCTGAATACCATCAAAAATGGCTCCCATAATGCCAGGACCGAGCTCTACTGAAAGGGGCTTCCCAGTGCGAAGTACAGGGTCTCCAACAGAGACACCAGCTAGAAACAGCAGTTGAGGAAAAGGTAAAACAAAGTTTGAAGATACTATTAATAGGAAGCACCAGTTTAAAAGGGGCATGACACTTAAGGAGATAAATTATAAGTTCCCAAGTTTCCGATAACCTTGATTTCAGTAATATTTTGCAGTGTCCAAGGATGAAAGATATACTTAACATGTCTAGTTATTAAGTAATCATATCCAAAGAATTTAATAAATATGTGTATCCTAACAACTGAGTATCAATGAGAGACTAATGTGTAAACTGGAAACAAAAAAAATCAATTTCAGTCCTAATAACCACAATTCTAATAAACAGAATGGTGTAGATAGTTTTTGGATACTGTATATCTTTCAGTAAGATGGAAACCTACTGCATATTTATGTCTACCTCCTTGGATTTTTAGCCCAGTAAGCACCAAAAGCTCAGCCTCCCAAACATTCATAAAACCAGTGACAAGAATATAACACAACCAAATACTAAATGACTAGTCATGTCTGATGAAGTGTCTGTTATTCCTGTGTGAATCTCAGGATGTTCTGGGCACTGCCTGAGTCTGCTGCAGCTCCCCAAGTGCCTCTGCAGTTAGGAGTCACAGGTTTAAGAACAAGACACAAAAGCCTCTCATTAATTCATCATGTTGAACACACTGCTGAAGAACAGTAGTCTTCTATAAAGAATAGTGATACTTAGACAAAAAGATCAAAAATTTTGAGAACTAAGGAAATGTGTTAGAAAGAGCAGAAGCCTAAAATTGAGCATAGATAGTGAATCTGCCTTGTTGTACAGTATTTATTGACAGAACAATCAAGAAAACTTTCATTGAGATTAACTCAGGAATATCTCTCAAAATTAAAAATGGTTAGAGCACTGTTTAAAAGACTACAAATCATCAAAATGTATACTATTAAATGCAAAGTCATGATAATCCTATGTTATGGAATTATATATAGCTATAAAAAAGGAGTAAGAACATCTACGAATTATAGTAAAAAGGTCATTATTTGTATCTGATAGGAATTTTATTAAACCTACAATGAAGTTCAAAGAATTTTTCAAAAAAAAAAAAACCTTCCTTTCTCTAGATTACATCATTAGCATTTTACCATATTTATCTCATTATCCTCATCTTCTACGATCCAAGTATCTTAAAATGGTAAACAGATAAAGACTAGTCTACACAAAATGCTATCTTATGGGAAGAAAGGACAAAGACTTGTTTGCATTTGTAAAGATATATGATTTAAATTAGAACAAAATATAATGATATATGTGTATAAAAATGCCTTAATGAATCCCATTATGTTATATGCTAAGGCAAAACAAGAGAAACCTAGAAGTACAGAAGGATACACAATAATTATAAGTAACTATCAAAGTAGTGCTATGTGTCTTGAAATTGGCCAGATAGAGGCCAAAACATTTAGGGAGTATTGTCACTTCATACATTTTCATTAACTTTAAGTCAACAAACCCTGTGAAAAAGAGAATAACTATGGGGTGAGGTACAACTCAGTATTAGTATGTGTGCTTGCCATGTATTCGGGTCTGTGTTAAATTCCATCTGTCTTTCAACTAACTAGATAAGAGATAAAGGTTATCAATAAACACATACACTCCCAAAACTGTTTTAGCCAGGACTTCATGCCGACAGAGACTTCTAACTGGTTCTGGGGTGATAGCTCAGTTATTAAAGTGCTTGCCTTGCAAGCATGAAGCTCTGACCCAATCTTCAGAAATGTGTTAAAATGTACATCTTCCGATCTCAGCCCTGGAGAGGCTGAATGGGATTCTTGGGGCAGGAGAGCCAGCAAGTCTAGACTCTTTGGCAAGCTCCATGCAAAGTGTTGGGTGGTACTTGCGGTTATCTTCTGGTCTTCACCCACGTGCGTCCTCACATACATGTGGACCTGCACGCACGCATGCAAACACAGAGACTTCCAAACTTTCTTAGCATTCCTTTACTGTGTGTGCATGATGCAGGCATGGAAAGGAGAGGACAGCTTTGTGCCGTCAATTTTCTCCTTCCACCTTTGCTTGAGTCCAGGGACCAGAATCATCTTGTGAGGATTGGCACCATGACCTTCACAGGCTCCACTATCTTACCAGCCCCTCCTCTATTTTTACAGAAAATTGGAAATAGGTATTATGCATAAAAGTCAATTTTGTAGTAACCCAATAGTAAGGATTTCTTAGTGATAAAGCTATAAATATTATTCAATGAAGATTGAGAATGGTCAATGATCTATACTTATTATTTTAAATAAAAATCATGACTGGGTAATTTTAACCAAGTAAGACAATATTATTATTGTATTTATGCTTTCTTTTGCAGTAAAAAACCTTCTGAACAAATTTCCAACTGTATTCCCCAAGTTTGTGACACCAAACGTTAAGAACAATGAAAATTCAGAATGTAATTCCAATTTCTTAATTAAGAGCACTAATTCCCAGTAGCTCTTTCTTGAATATATTCCTTTATGGTATGCACATTTCTCATGCACTGCCATTGGTTATCATTGCTGCTTCTTTGCCTTAAATCCTTAAGCCCTGTCACACAGCAAGTGGCAGGAAACTGAACAGAAAAAGGATACAAGTTTCTTCATACACCTGAATGGTAGCCATGTCACCTTCCAATCGAATAATCTCTCCCACCAGCTCGCTGTGACCCACTCTCACCAGCTCATACATGGCTGCACCTGCCATGTTACAGGCCGTAACCACTGCAAAGAACAAGAGATTGTTGACCCAAAGTTCTGTGAATAATTAGTTAATTTCAACATCCAATAAACCCAATAGCATGCCTTCTCATTTATTCATATGGAAGAAGACTCCCACTATGGAGTAATCTTTACAGTTTCACATAAAGATATATTTTTAGTAAATGATACAAAGAAGGAAACAAAACAGACTTTTAAGCTAAGGTTATTGACTAATGCAACACAAAAGCAAACTATTTAAAGCACTTGAAGTCCCACAGGAAAACTCTTACCTTGTAGTATTGAAGTACGTTCTGAACAGCCCAAGTTACTTTAATATATGTAATGAAGGGTTTTGAAACCATAAGCAAGCAAGCAAACAAACAAGCAAACAAGCACCTAACATTGGCATTAAGAGCTTTAGGATGTCATACAGTAACTAGTTTATTGTGCTGTTATCCCTTGAGAGATAACAATAAAGCAAGATTCTTGCCTCTCATTACGTTAAACCAGTGATTCTAAAGTTTCCTTAGATGTGGACCTTTAGGACCTTTAATAAACTGATAATTCTAGAATTAAAAAAAAAAATTCTTATACCTAGCCAGATGGTATGTATAAGAGAAAGATAAAGGTACATGGGCTAGGAATGTCATTGGTTAATTTTATTGAGGGAAATCATTTACATGTGAAACCAATAACCCAGGTCAGCTATGAACATCCAGTCTCAGCAGCTCTCCGAGCCCGACCAAAACCCGGAGAGAGCTGCACTTCCTTTTCCCAGACCTATATCCCACATGTCCTGTATGCACCTGTGACCACGCCAGACAGGTACCTAGTAAGATCTCTCCCTACAGGTACGCATTTGGGAAGCAGAGACATGAAGATCAGGGTTTCAAGGTTGGCCTTCCCTATATTTAGCAAGTTCTAGGCCAGCTCAGGTTACTTGAAGCCTCACATATGCATAAACCATTCCTTTCATTAAACAATAGGATGTTTATAGCCATTCTCTCATCACTGGATAAACTTTCAGTTAAGAAAGGACCTCTATTTTTAAACTTTCTTTCACAAGCAGGAGTCAGAATTAGAACTTGCTATTTTGGATCATGCTGTCTAGCAAGCAAAAATTATTTTCCTGGAAGGAAGAGACATTTGTAGAAATGTATAAGAATGAACCCATTCTTAATACTTAGCCCGTGATACAACTGATTGCAACTACATGAGAGGGATTATTGCAGTGGGAAAGGATAAATGTTTAATTAACCTGATCTAGAAAACTGAAGATTTATTCATTTTCTACTTACTTCCAAATCTAAAATGTAAGAAGAATTACAATGCCTTGAAATATCAGATAATGAATTTAAAAATCCCATTTCATAAAACCCAAAGGTTTTCTATTACAGAGGTTCTCAACCTGTGGTTTACGACCCCCTTTGGGGTCACACATCAGATACCCTTCATATCAGGTATTTACAGTTTTATTCTGGAATAACTTTTGGTTGGGGGTTCCCACAGCATGAGGAACTGTACTAAAGGGTGGCAGCATTAGGAAGGGTGAGAACCACTGCTCTACTAAGACGTACTTAGGAATTAAAAAAGGGATCAACAACAATGAAATGTGTACTCTTTACTTCTTGCCAATGAGCCCAAGCTCATTTAATTCTTGGAGAGATAAAGGGGGGTACATTAACTAAGTCTTCATTTGAGAAACACCAAAAAGATGCCATCACGTTCACTGTGATTAGAAGAAAACACTGCAGCATGAAACTTAAAGGAAAGATTTTTTTTTTTGGGGGGGGGGGATGTTTTGAGACAGGGTTTCTCTGTGGCTTTGGTGGCGGGCATTGGTGGCGCATGCCTTTAATCCCAGCATTTGGAAGGCAGAGGCAGGAGGATCTCTGTGAGGTCGAGGCCAGCCTGGTCTCCAGAGCCAGTACCAGAATAGCCTCCAAAGCCTCCCTGTCTCGAAAAACCAAAAAACAAAACAAAACAAAACAAAACAAAAAAAAAACAATGAGCAGGTTGTACCTAGGGAACTATAATTCATATTTTTAGTGATATTAAAAAAACTCAAATACTAAAATGAGATGATTATCTTAAAATACAAGGTTTGACAAAATGGATATAAAACTACTTTCTATCTCAGTATCAGGCCATCAGACTTCTTTCTCTCAAATAGCCAGTTGTGAAATACCTGGAATAATCATTCAGATAGATGTATAAACACAAAGAGGACAGGTTAACATTACTAAGAAATGCTCTGAAGATCATTAGAGATTAACTGAATACTTATTTTACATAAGGTGCTGTGTATTAAAAGCTATAAACCAGGCTGGAGAGATGGCTCAGTGGTTAAAAGCAGACTGTTTCTCCAGAGGCCCCAAGTTCAATTCTCAGCACCCATATGGCAGCTCACAACTGTCTTATCTATACGCAGGCAAAACACCAATGCCTATCAAATAAAAATAAAAAAAAAATTAAAAGCTATAAACCTTAAAGCTTTTTAAATTTCAAATTTAACAAAAAAAAATTAAGTTATATTTCCTTAACAAGCATGGTATCACAAAGTTGTGTATCAATGACAGACTTTCAGATGTGTATATGACTAGTGCTTGATGAACCATTACAATGGCTACATTACTTCATTCCCATAGTCACTACAAGATCTTAAAGTGACAAACAACTTTTGTGGGTCAGCAAGAACCTGTGTTTCTCCCCAAGGCACCTTGGAAAGATCACAGTGAGTCATCCTTGCTCTTAGATAACCATATATTACATACCAGGCCCCGAGACTCCATGTACATAACCAAATGTGCTTTCTTTATCTTCGTCACATACTTTGGGGAGCTTGGAGAAATCCATTGTGTTGATTTCCCTAAGACAAAAAAAAGAAAATCATAATTACAAATTCTAAAACAATAGAATTAACATAGATGGTATATTCTCAAATTATAATACCATTTCAGAATAAAATGTAGCATAAAATTCTTAAAATTTGGTTAAAAGTACCTCATTATTTGTTATAATAACCAAACTGCATTTTTACATTTCATATTCCATAGAAAATGTTAAAAATCTCCAGTGATTTATTTAGCCCTTTAAAGCTCATTCCCCTCCAATTACTCAATTACTCATTCCATAACGTCTCAGAAATCTGTGGAGGCTGCTGCCTTTGTCTCAGAGCTTTTCTGCTAGGTTACCTAGTCCAGTAACTCTTTAGGCCTCTATCAAAATGTCATCTTTTTCATCAGGTTGCTCTAAGCATCAATTTCAATTGTGACATATTGCCCCCTCCTTTATTTCTCTATACTTTATGCATCTTTTAAAAATCTTATGAGTGTTTTCCCTTAATGTATGTATATATGTGTACTACATGCATACCTAGTGCCTGCAGAGGCCAGAAGGGGTGTCAGATCTCTTGGAACTGGAGTTATAAGCTGTTGTGAGTCACTGTGTAGGTGCTAGGAACCGAATCCAGGTCTCCTGCAAGAGCAACACAAGCTTGTAACTACTAAGCCACCTCTCTAGGACAAACCTTGTTTTATTTATTTTCTTAAATAATACTTCTCATAGTGTAATGAAACAAACTAAGTATTTCACATTAAAATCTATCTTTAAAAATGCCTAGGGGCATTTTTCCTTTTTTCTTTTAGTAGAACACAGAACCTGTAAACACTAGTACAGGGACCAGCCTGTGCTACACAGAAAGAGATCCTGTCTAAAAACAACAAAGGACACATAAAACAACACCAAAAAGGAAAATCGGTGATGGATTCTGGAGCTAAGAGTTTATTTTGGGGCTGCTGATTTAACTTAATAATTATTAATGATTATATCAGGGCAATGGAACAAATACTTAAATGTGTGAAAAGCTAAACAATGCCCTCCAATCAACCACAAACTTAGTCTTAAATCATTCGGCAACAAAGTGCCACGTCATATGCATTTAGTAAATGTTCAAAGACTACAGTGTTTAGTGAAGCTATCTTGAAGGCCAGGTAGTATTGTGTACAAAGTAGGAAAGCATTCCAGATGGGGGCAATAATAGAAGAATGGAAATAAAATATTCAAGAACAGCAAACAGACCAGTCTCGCTGGTAGAAAAGCTTAAGTTAGGGCAACAATAGGGAATAAGTATGCAAAGATATATGATACTAATTTATGGGTCTCTAACCGAATGTCTTCATCCTGTGAACAAAAGGAAATGAGTGAAGACTGAAGGAAGAATGGTGTTCTGTTGCTGTAACACATTAAATCAGAAAAGAGACTGCAAGTAGGATGAGAGACTGAAAACTATGTACTGAATATTTACTGTGTTCCTCCCAAGACAAAGGTCCTGTGTTAAAGCTAGAGAATAAAAGCTGCAATGAAAACATGTGACTATTTTCAAGGAGCTTTTGCTGGTTTACCCAACTGTACTATACAGAAAGCTATAAACACTGTATTGGGAACAGAAGAGATGTGGACGCTACCATAGAGAATGTGGGTCAAGTGTAGATCAATATGGGTAAACCATATATACCAAAAAAGGTAGCCAGGAAGCAAGTTTTGAGAGAATTGAGTCCAGATAAAAAGAACACAGACAGGAAAACCAACTCCTGAGCTTTGCTGAGTATGGCAATACTGAGGAGTGATTCTCATTATTTTTGGAAATGCTACATCACTTTTATATCATATACAACCTGTAATCCTTTAACTAGATAAAAAAGCTATGTGTAGACCATAGGTAAATATTGGGTGTTACTCCTCAGGAGTGTCTCCCTTGCTTCTTTGAGAAAGGGTACTCCTCAGGAGTGTCTCCCTTGCTTCTTTGAGAAAGGGTCTTTCTCTAGGGTCTGGGGTTTGCAGATTTGCTCAGACTAGCCAGCCAGTGAGGCCTAGGTATCCACCTGTCTCAACCTCCATAAGCAGACGCTAGGCACTTGACTATCAGTGGGTGGGTGCTGAGAACTGAACTCAAGTCCTCATCCATAAAACTGTAAGCACTTTACGAATTGAACTATCTTCCCAGACCTGCAAATAAGGTTTTCAATAAAATACCAGATAAAGAAAACAAATAAACAAAAAACCTTCGAGACAACCTATGTAGTTAGGAAACAGGTTATCAAAATCTTCAAAACAAGAGGACCGAATGGCTCAGCTAAGAGTCTTGCTGCTCTTACCAGGGATCAGATAACACCCACCATATCAAGCAGGTCACAACTGTCTGCATCTCCAGCTCAGGGGGGTCTGATATCCTCTTTTGGCCTCTACAGGTATCCACGGACATCTAAATATATACATAAAGATTCTTCAGGGGCTGGAGAGATGGCTCTTGTGGAGGAGCTGAGTTCAGTTCCCAGCACCCACGTGGTAGCTTCCAATTGTCTATTAAGTCCAGTTCCAGGCGATCCAATGTCTTTTCTGACCTCTGTGGGGTCTTGCATGTATGTGAGGTGCATGCACACATACACATGTACACCTTCAGAGAAGGGGAAATGGTAATGAGGTCACCATCCAGACTAAGCTCTTCCCCAGTGCGGGTATTCCCTGTACCGTGTTTATGATACATGATCATTTGCCCAGTAAAGTGGAAACAGCATGGGACCTTGAGTCAGCTGACTTGGGATCACTTTTAGGTTCCTCTAATAATATGCCGCAGGAAAACTTAGACAAAGCAAAATCTCGTATCTTTAACTGAAAAAACAAGAATTATGCTACCATCTACCTGAGAATTGTGATTTAATTACAGATTTGATCAAATGTTCCTCGTGAAAATGAGAAATGCTCACAAACATTCCCTTAGCAATGCTACTTGAGTAGTATCTCAATTTTGAAAAATGTCATTTATTTCCCCAAATGCCTTCTTTCGCAATGGGTATGTCTGGTTGCCTGTGCATCCTCCTGAGTGCTTTCTGTTGTTCCCTGCTCTAAGGCAATCTTTTCTACAGCCCCTCACTCCTTGGGCTATCCCTTCAGAAAGTATTTCATCATATTGCCTGAGAAAAGGGATATGAAGAATAACTAACTTAATTTTATTAATCCAAGCCAATATTACCTAATATGTAAAAGGTATGTTTAATGTAGCAGCAGCTGCTATTTCTGCTTTTTAAATAAGATTTTTTTTTAGGGTGTGTGTGTGTGTATGTATTTATATGTGTATTGGTGCCTATGAAGTTGGGGGTGGATGAATGTTTGGCCTGCATGTACATATGTGTACCACATGCATGCCTGATGCCTGAGGTCAAAAGAGGGCATCAGAGCCCCTGGGACTAGGGTTAGAGATGGTTGTGAGTCTCTATGTGAGTGCTGGAACCCACATCTTCTGCAATAGCAACAAATGATTTTATCCTCAGAACCATCTTTCCAGGCTCTTAAATGTATTATCTCCCTATTATTTAAGTAAAACATAATTACCTGACTAGTTTTTTTATTATACTGTGTAATTTATCATAATTTTATTTACTAAACAATAGAATTTTAAGCACCAATGATGTGCCAGCTGCTGTATTACAGGCAGAAAATATGGCATGATACCCAATCTTCCTTTTATCATCCTCTAATCATCTTCTGGCATAGTGAGATACAAGCCAGCTAGCCAGTTAAAATTAGGAGATGTGCGTATTCTCCGAAGCAGCATATGCTGATTTTACAAGAATGCAAAGCAAACATGTGTGCATGGAGGCTTACGGGAAGAGAAGCTGAAGCTAGAACAACATCAAAATGCACAGTAGTGACAAGGAGGCATCAGACTAGTAGGTAGTGTTTTCCTGTAGACAGCTCAATTCTCCTGGGGTGCAGAAAGGCCTTCGAAGAACTTCATGAGACCAAACAGTATCTTTTGTAACTGTTAAACTAGGTAATTATAGTATGAGTCCTTTGAACATACGAACAATGATTAATGGAAAGAAGTCAAACGGATTTGTTCATTAGTCAGCTGTCTGTGGGTTTATCAGTCAGCTGGATAAGTATGGCCACCATGGGAATTTCCATGACCTATACTTTTAAACATCTTTTTGTTTTTTTAAAACATTTGAGGTATATACTAGGCATTAGAAGCAATGACATTAAGACAGTAAGACAGTGGGTGCTGGTGGCACATGCCTTTAATCCCAGTACTCAGGGGGCAGAGGCAGGTAGATCACTGTGAGTTCAAGGCCAGCCTGGTCTACATAGTGAGTTCCAGGACAGTCAGGGTTACACAAAGAAACTCTGCCTCAAAATAAAAAAGAGAGAGAGAGAATCAAGAGCCTAAGTGACAACACTACATATTTATATTTACCTCTAAACAACTCGTCACCAGATGTACATCTTTGTTTATATCTGATAAAGGCCTTTTTTTTATTTTTTTATTTTTCCCTAGACAGTTTCAATCCAGGACAGCCAGGACTGTTAAACAGAGAAACCCTGTCTCTAAAAAACCAAAACCAACCAACCAACCAACCAAATAAATAAATAAATAAATCAAATATGCTATGATTTCATGCTGCATGAAACTCCTTCCTGACACGGTTATCCCTGCTGCTCTTAATTATACAAAAAAGAAATGGAGGACTAGAAGTGCTGGGGGGGGGGCATGACAGGGATATAGCACTTGCTAAGCAGGCTGGAGTCCCTGGGTTAGAGCTCCAGCTACCACCCAGAAAATGTGGGGGAAAAAAATCAGGAAGGAAAATGTGGCATACATAGCTACATTCACACACACACACACAAACACACACACACAGACACACACACACAAACCAAAACACAACTCAATGATTATGCTAAGATTTACCTTTAGGTACTAGGCTCCTACTTTACCTAAGGATAAAAAGCAAATTTACAACTAAGAGACCCTTAAACATAAATTCTAGCCCCCACCATATTTGTGAAAAAAGAAAAAGAATCTGTGCTATAGAAAAGGGAACAATCCAGAAGGCAGCAGAGGCCACCATCTGACTACTGAGTCATCAGTCTCTCCCCCACAAGCACTGTGGAACACTGCAGTGACGAGTAACACCAGAGGCCGCTTTCCAACCTCTGTCTTACAACACACACTCCAAACTGTCACAGGTTAGTGCACTGTACCCAGTTTTTTTCTAGAACCAATTCTTTGTACTATCATAGTTTGGGCTGGAGTCAAGAAGGTGACATAACAGATAATGTTATCGCCCCAAGGCAATTCATATACAACTTGACTCACTTCACTGAAGTGTTATTTAGTGTAACATTTAAAAAAGAACTAACATATTAAAAAACTACCTTTGGAAAGCACAGGGGTTTTTGTTGTTATTTTATTTATAAAGAAAATCCAGGAGATTTCAACCAAATGCTTAGTTTCTTTTATTATTAATTGTACCAAACGGCATACAATGTGACAAGGCAGTAACTGTATGCAGTATGTAACAATCAAATCAGGACAGGCAGGTAGCCGTCCACCACTCCATTTCTTATTTATTGATTTACTCCACAGACAGGATCTCATTGTGTATACAGCTCTTCTTGGCTTCAAATTCATACTC